ATCGAGCCGAAGCTCGAACCCATGCTCATACAATGTGATAGTGCGCCACTTTTCACTACACTGGCTCCCTCCAATGGTCTTCATACAATTCACTGATTCATGGTTCAGTCTTTCCAGAGAAGTCTGTTATCAATGGGCCAACTCTGGTGATGTGGCCAGCGGTTGACCTGGGTGGCTATCGATATGGGATTCGATCGCGCGGGCGGAGGCGTGCACTTGGCATTATCTCCTCCCGTTTACCCTTGATGTGCTACCCAGTTGTTATGGCCAACAACGCATAAAACCGTTGTTGAGGTGCAAGCCAAGATAATTTCGAGATAGCTGATGCTTAGGCTACTCAGTTTTTTTTGTGGGGAGATGAGGATGGAACGTTAGCATAGCTTAGGTTGATTAAAACTTTCGGAAATCATTGGTGAGAAAACTGATCGAACCTTTTCGCTGAATTCCTATTGCGGGGTAGTCCTTCACGATGAATTTCCGAATGTGATGCAGAGCATGTCTGGCTTCTTTTATGAACTCGCGATGCTCGACTGCTTGCTTTTCGTACAGACTGACTTGAGTGTCGCGATTCTGTAAAGCTGTAATTTTTCATTTGAAAAGAAGGCATTGATCATGGTTTTTCATATACCTGTACATCTTTGAATATGTCATTGTTTTTTAACAACTCAGCAATTAACTCGTATTCGTCCTCATCTGGAGGAGGAGCTAGACAGCTGCCCTGTTATAAAAGAGGTTGAATTGGATTCTGTCATTCAGCTATTCGCACCGATATCAACGATAGCAACCCACATGTTTGCGAAATGATGGGTTTCCTTGAATTGCCTGACACAGGGACCAGTTGAGACGGTCGAGGCACTGCTGTAAAGTTCTGAGAGATGGACTAGGTTAGAAACTGTTTTAGAGGGATTTTGCGTCACCTTGTAGTTATCCAATTGTTCAAAGTCATCACAAAGCTTATCGGAGTACCGAGTACGTTGGGCTATTCCAACACTTTCCTTCACTCGATGGATGAACTTTTTTAGCGCTTGCTTGTTTTCGGTTGGGCTCTGAATAGTTACACTTTTCGACAACTCTCAGCATGACTAGACGGTTGTTTCAGCAGCGGTCTGATATTTCATCCGTATGGTAGTTACACTTTCTCACGTACTCGCCTGAGTAAGCGCTCTGGTATCATACACCGGTGAAAATGTAG